AACCTGTGGGTCGTGACCCCTTTGGGGGGTCGAACAACTCTTTAACAGGGGTCGCCTAAGACCATCGGAAAACAGATGGTCTTAGGAACCGGGACACAGCTCTTCTATCTGTCTCCAGGCGGGTCCGCCCACATGCAGATACACATACATACATATGAGTACCCGGCGTGATGACATCATCACGCCAACCCCATCACATACACCCCGTACAAATACAGGTGTATGTGACAGGGTTGGCGCCATAATGTACTTATGTGAACCAGTCACACATGTGTAAAGAGCAGCTACTGTGTTGAAAGCAGCAGTATTGGAGATAAAACAATACTTCATGAATTATAATTACTGGGTAAATGTAAAATCATGTACTGTAAAATCATCAACTACTGCAAAAAAAACCATCCTGCATAGCAGATATTTACATTACGATTCATAATAGTAGCAAAATTACAGTTATGAAGCAGCAACGAAAATCATTTTATGGTTGGGGGTCACCACAACATGAGGAACTGTATTAAAGGGTCGCGGCATTAGGAAGGTTGAGAACCACTGCCGTAGACTGTTTATTGGAGCCAGATCACTGTTCCCTGTATACAGAGTTCTGTGGTTTGTAAACGCAGACCTCTGTATGTGATTGGACACAGCCGATCAGTTGATTTCAGCCAAAATCATTGGCTGAAATCAGCTGCCAAACTTGTGCTGTGTCCAATCACAGCATGGATCAGCAAACCCTACAGAAGGCCTATCGCCTATATTTACATGACTGCACCTGCTGCCCCCCTCGCAGTAAATATGCGGTGGCAAGTGGTTGAGTAGTCTTTTTCACCTGGTTGCAGTAATTGCTTGATAGCATTTTCGTTTAATTTTGATCTGCATCAGACATCAACATTCACCAGACTTATGATAAATTAATTGTAAACCCTTTTAGGACTTTTATCCATCATAAGGTCTGTTATCATAAACTGCCTCTCAGGGAGTGCTTTGTCTAGTATTGCTGTGCCGGCGATTTTCAAGGAGATCCCTCTAATAGCTGGGCAGTTTCAAACTACAGAGCAATCTTGGTTTGTAGCCTTTTCTCCATCTCCGTAAAATTGCTCTGGGCAATCCAGTAGTACTAGTAGGGGGCCTGGTAGGTCAAATGCAACATTCAACAAATTTGTCCCTCCTGGGCTACATTGATTGAGTGCTGCACAGTTATCGTTTAGATGACGGTCATTCATCAATTCTTTCCCATAGCTTATTTCCTATTTAAAGAAAATTACACTCTCTCTATAGGTCACTGTGGTTTTCATGTATGAGAAAAGATTTCTAATAGAAGCATGGTTGTATTGCCCATAGCAACCAACTAGCTGTCCCTTTTGATTTTCAAACCTGTATTGGAGATATACAAGCTGACACAGCCCTGTAAGTACAATATATTTAAAGCAGAACTAAACCAAGCCATTAATGGTAACTGCTACAGGTGCTTGTGCTCTCAAGCAAACTGTCAAGCCATCAAATGGCTGGCATCATAGGTGACATGTAACGCACCCACCAGGGCAAGTGCAGATCAAACAAAGTCAGTTTTCTTAAGATTCAATCAAACTGAGTCAATTGGCCAGGGCAGACAATTATTGATTGCTTTGCATTAGTTGGCAGTCCTGGAGATACCTTGTTGTATAATATGATCATATTTCAATCGGTCATACTATGAGATTACATGGAGGAAACAAAGATAAGATTGATACCTTCTGCTCAGAAGTTACTATTGTATCTTAAAGTGGAACTTAATTGTATCTGAGCAGAAACTGAAAAAGCTATTTAAATATTTAAAGCAAACTCACCCATCCATCCATGTCTCCATGCTTTATTTTGTCGACAAATTGCTTTGCAAAACACCCCCTGGCCATCTTGAATAAGGGCTGATGATTCATGTAGCAATTACTTCCTGAATTCCATTTGCCCTTAGCACAGGCATACCTTCAGGAGGCTGTGCTTAGCTGAGAAAGCCCCTCCTCCAGATAAAAACAAAAATCCCCATGAAGACTCCTGGGATGTATGACATCATTTTGGCCTAGGTCAGAAACCAGGAAACAACTAAAGAAATATTAAAAAAAAAGTTTAAAACAAATACACTATCCTTTCCTATCTATTTACTATTTCTAACAACATAAGGATTAAAAATAGGTAATGTTGATTGAAAGAGTTTAGTTCTGCTTTAACGATCGAAATCCACTTCCCCATGTGTAGAATATTAATCGAATGGGTTGTCCACTATAGATCACAATTATTCTTATCAGAAGAGGTTGATCAGAAAATAAATGGACCATTTATTGAAGTGTGTATGACCACCATAAGATGGTAGCTTCCATAGCTAAAAAGAAAAGGAGGGTTTAGTTCCGATTTAATTCACAAAAGCTCACACAGCTGAATAAGGATCCGTATTTTCAAAAAAGTGACAGTTATTTTCCACTAAGCCCAGGTAGATTTGAAAATGACAGTAATATGGCTAAAATAATGTTCTTTACCTCCTTACCTTGTGTTAAGTTGTTAGAATGGTTAAAAAAAACTGTAAACAGTGAGATGTTATGTCTCTCCTGCAATAAAATAAACTTAGCTGCCTGTGGCACTCTTCTATTGAATGTGCACTGCGTACATTCTTGGTACAATGAATGACTCCCATGCACAGGTGTCATGTTATCCCGCACCGACCAATAATGACAGGTGAACACCAGCACCCAGAAGAACCTCAGGGAGAAGGCGTCAGTTCCCAGTGAGAGGTTGCATCACTGAAGCAGAGATAGTAACTGCAGGGTTCAATTTTAATTTTAGACTAAGGAGTTGATATAATGAGGAGCGAATATTGCCATCCACTTTCTAATATATTTAGCAGTACTGATACATACTGTGGCCTGCATTTTGTGGCCCATTCATAAAATACAGGCCTAAGCACAGAGCCTATGGTATTCTACGTTGCTCTCTCTGGTTAACGCAGCTGATGAAACTCCATAATACAACCACACCACTGCTTTTTATATGAACCCCTTACTTACCAGGCATTACATGTGGCACCCTGATCTTGACTAGGTTGAAAGGGCCCTTGATTGTGGTTATTTTAGAAGAATTGTGTTGGACTTTTTGATAGTCTTAAGGGTGAAGAATTAATAGAAAAAATGCAGGGTATTTTAACAAATTAATAACCAAAAAAAGTGGTGCTATACACCTCTTACAATAATCAGTAATTAGCCCTATGTGAATAAATAGTATAAGCCGCCCCTTTAAAAGCATAATAATACACTTTAAATAGAATAAAAATGAAAAAATACAAGTGGTGCTATACACTCTCCTTATATACGTTTGTACATCTGACTATAATACATAGAGCTTCCTGAAGATGTCATTATAGTCAAAACGCGTAGAGACGAGACTACAGTCATCATTTATGGTTCTGATTACGTCACATCTGGTGATGCGGTTTCCGGCATTTGGAGCGCACTTAGGCTCCAGGTGAGAGCGGAGGAGTGGTGCTTCCATAAAATTGTATCTGCTGATGGTTTTGGTGCCGATTTGGGGCACAATAAATTGGAAGTGCAATATAGTTAATTTTGTTTATGTGGCTTTATCAATAAATATACTATGAGAAATCTTTTTTTTGTTGGTCCATGGTGGATATTTTGATAGCATGATGAGAGAGAGGATAAATTTGGTGCATTAAAGGAGTATCGAGCTCTGAGAAACTAACCTTCTGGAAGGAAATGGAGGAGGAAAGTCCTTTGGTAGTCCAATTAAGCACATTTTGACCAGCCTATTACTGGGGGGTCATTATGATCTGGTGAAACAGTACAGTATTCTTCTATTCATGCAATGGGTGAAAAAGGTATCACAGTGGTGGAGGAACATAAAAACTAATTGACTTTGTATGGATACCGGATGTTTTATTTTAATGCACTTATTTAGTGAATTTCAGCACTGCATGGACTTTATTCTTCATTTAATTTATTTAAGTTATTTATTTAAGTTTTACTATGATATATCATTCACAATTTAACAGATTATCTTCTATTTGGTAACAATTTCAGTTGGCTTTGGCCACAATGGCAAACCGCCACTTTAATGTGCAGTAATTAAAGGACCACTATAGTGAAAACCCTTGTATTCTGATATCTAAGTTTGCTTATTACCTACAATGTTAATAATCATTATATTTTCCTACTTTTACATACAGACCAAGCTGACCAGCAGAAGACAAAATAAACAAACTACACAACACTACCAGGGGTGCTTACAATGGTCAGCTTTTATTGATGTGGCTTAAACCTTTTTTCAAAGTGGAACTTAGTCCTCATGCACACTGGACATTTTTACATCGGCTGTTTTTGGCTTTTGGCATTTTTTTCTACAGCCAGTAAACCCCCCAGCATGTTATCCTATGTGTCCATGCACACATAGACTGTAATCAACGTTTTTTGGCAGCGTCCTTTTTTGGCTGAAAAAAAACCCAAGACTAGTGGGTTTCAAGAGGAGTTTTTTTTAGCTGTAAAAATGCTCTAACGTGGTAAATCGCGGCAAACTGGCGTTTTTGGACTTTTTTTGACCAAAAATGCTTTTTATTTTTTTGGTAAAAAAAATGTGAACACGAAAAAACGCTGCAAAACACTAATGAAAAAATGCTAAAAAACGCTGAAAAACTCACATTTTTAACATGACTTTACACAGCTAACATTACCAGCGTGATTAAAACGGCCAGTGCGCATGGAGCCTTAAAGTGTTACTAAACCCACAATAGTAAAAATCAGTCTGTATATGCAGTAAGCATGCTTGTTATACTCACTGTGGAACCTGTGGAAGGGGTAAATTTCATTTTGTAAAGAGGTGCACAAACTGTTGGCGCTATATAAATCCTGTATGATAATAATCCTCTGCATTGTGTAAAAAGGCTGTTTGATCTTGTCTTCTCTGATCCTCCCCTTTTTTGTTGTCCACAATCCATCTGCATAGTTAGAGCACCAGTGGCAAGTCTGCACATGCTCAGTTTGGTGTGTATTGCTAGAGATTTTTTTGGGGGGAAGGGTGCATGTGTTCAGCACAGGGCCAATCAGCATCGTCCAGACAGAGGGTCAGGGGTTAATCCTAGATTGTAAGCTCGAAAGAGCAGGGCCCTCGAACCCCTCGTGTAGTGTATTGTCACTGTCTTGTCTCATGTTATGTCCCCCTTGCTACTGTACAGCGCTGAGCATACCCTTTGGCACTATATAAATACTGTATAATATATAATAATATAATATATTATAATAAAATAATGCAGCCTCATAGGACAGTCAGAGGAAAATGAAAACTCCTCCTACAAGATTAACTAGTGCTCAGCTGAACACTGATAGAAGACACAAGACTGCTATATACTGCTGTTGGGAAAAGGTATTTAGCAGTTTATATTTACTAAAATAATCGCACTTCCATGTTCTTTGCACTGTGGAAGACTAAATATAGTGAATGCAGGGTTCTGGTGTAGTAAAACTTTAAAGCAGAACTAAACCCTCCTATAGTTTATAGCCAAGGAAGCTGCCATGTTAGCCTCTATTTGATCTGTACCTGTCATGGTGCTGCACATGTGATCAGTTATAACATCAGCCATTTGATGGCTTGACAGTTCATTTGAGTGCTAACAAGGGTACACTAGTAACTGAACAAAGCAAATGTGACAGTTGTCATGCTCAACATGCCTTGAAAGTAACTATTTTGGGAAACCATTAAATGGGTGGGTTTAATTACCCTTTAAAGTGGAACTAAACCCATCGATTTAACAGCGTATCATAACAGTTAAATTCAAGGCATGCCTTGAATGATAACGGTCACATTTGCTTGTGCTCTCAACTGAGCTGTCAAGCCATAAAAAAAGAGAGTATGTTCCATTTAACCACCCCCTCCCCATCACCACAAAAGGGATAATACACCTTACTCTGTATGGCATATTAAAATGGCATCCCTCTCTATGCATGGTAAGCCACCCAGAGATTTTGCAAAGGGCTAAGGAACATCAATACTGGAGCCATTGTTTGGTCTAACAAATCCTGTTCCACAACCACTGAGATGAATGAAAACGCATCATCCATCAAGCGTAATATCAACTCATACACCTTGGATAGTATTGTTTTGCACTGAGGTCTTGGTTGGTTGGCCTTAACGTTGGGACAATGTAGGATAATGTGGAATCACTAGTGTGGTTTAGTTGATATTATAAAGGTCCAACATGTTCATATGTCTGGTTTTTTGGACGTTATTTTAGACACATTTTTCCCTCGTCTTTACCATCTTGACGTACACAGACTGTAACTGCCAGGCTGGTTGCGTTTTGTTAACCTTCATCTCTTTGAGGGTCAGTGGATCGCAGTTTCCAATACCTTAATGCTCCTTAGAGTGGCTTTGAGATGATGTTAGCTCTGGCTTTTAAAGTTCACGTAGCATTGTTTTCCCATGAAATTTCATAAAGCTGAAAGTTCTGGTAATTTACTTTTTTCTGCAAAATTTATTTAAGACCTTCACAGGGCATGAAGTCCAGTTCATAATTACCAATCCAGCTGACAGAACAAAGTAGTTGTAGGCTTAGCGCATATATGCCTATATCTAATAATGTGATTTATAATGTAAGTTTAAAATAACTAAGGGTTTGTTGACACATACAGTATGTCATCTCTGAACCATTTCTTGCAGGTCATATTGAAGTTTGGAGAGCGTTGAGAAAGGTTAAAACATTTTTCATTTTTTGATTGCAGTGTCCTAATTATTTATTTTATTTCAGGTAATTGTATAGCGCTGTCAATTTACGCAGCACTTTACATATACAGTTGCAAGAAAAAGTATGTGAACCCCTGGGGATTACGTGGAGTTTTGCATGAATTGGGCATAAAATGTGCTCTGAACATCATCTAAGTCACAATAGAAGAACACAGTCTGCTGAACATAATACTACACAAACATTAGATGTTGCCATGGTTTAATTGCACATAACATGTAAACATGCACAGTGCAGGGAGGAAAAAGTATGTGAACCTTTGGAGTTAATAACTGGTTGACCCTCCTTTGGCAGCAATAACCTCAACCAAACCTTTCCTGTAGTTGCAGATCAGACCTGCACAACGATCTGGAGTAATTTTGGACCACTCCTCTTCACAAAACTGTTTCAGTGTAGCAATATTCTTGGGATGTCTGGTGTGAATCACTCTCTTAAGGTCATGCCACAGCATTTCAATCGGGTTGAGGTCAGGACTCTGACTGGGCCCCTCCAAAAGGTGTATTCTGTGCTGTTGCAGCCATTGTTTTGTTGAATTACTTGTATGCTTTTTGGGTCATTGTCCTGTTGCATCACCCATCCTCTGCGGAGCTTCAGTTGGCGGACAGATGGTCGTACGTTTTCCTGCAAAATGTCTTGATAAACTCTGGAATTCATTTTCCCATCAATGACAACAATCCGTCCAGGCCCTGAGGCAGCAAAGCAGCCCCAAACCATGATGCTCCCTCCGCCATGTTTTACAGTGGGGATGAGGTTTTGATGTTGGTGTGCTGTGCCTTTTTTTTCTCCACATATAGTGTTGTGTATTCTTCCCAAACAACTCAATCTTGGTTTCATCTGTCCACAGTATATTTTTCCAGTAGTAGTAGTAGTAGTAGCTGTGGAACATCCAGGTGCTCTTTTGCAAACTTCAAACGTGCTGCAATATTCTTTTTGGACAGCAATGGCTTCCTCCGTGGTGTCCTCCCATGTACTCCATTCTTGTTTAATGTTTTCCTTATTGTAGATGTGTCAACAAAAATGTTAGCATGTGCCAGAGATTTCTGTAGGTCTTTAGCTGACACTCTGGGATTCTTCTTTACCTCATGCAGCATTCTGCGCTGAGCTCTTGCAGTAATTTTTACAGAACGACAACGCATAGGTAGAGTAGCAACAGTGCTAAACTTTCTCCATTTGTAGACAGTATGTCTTACCGTGGACACATGAACATCAAGGCTTTTGGAGATACTTTTGTAACCCTTTCCAGCTTCATGCAAGTCAACAATTCTTGATCATAGGTCTTCTGAGAGCTCTTTTCTGCGAGGCATGGTTCACATCAGACAGTGCTTCTTGAAACCAAAAAACCCAAAACAGGTGTGTGTTTTTTAAGGGCAGGACAGCTGTCAGCAACACATCCAATATCATCGCACTGATTGGAGTCAAGGTTGGCTCACTTCTGGCTCCAATTAGCTCTGGGAGAAGTCATTAAGCTAGGGCCTCACATACTTTTTCCTCCCTGCACTGCGAATGTTTACATGTTATGTGCAATTAAACCATGGCAACATCTAATGTTTGTGTAGTATTATGTTCAGCAGACTGTGTTCTTCTATTGTTGTGACTTAGATGACGTTCAGAGCACATTTTATGCCCAATTCATGCAAAACTCCACGTAATCCCTAGGGGTTCACATACTTTTTCTTGCATCTGTATATTGTACATTCACATTAGTCCCTAACCCTCAAAGGGCGTACAATCTAAGGTCCCTAACTCACATTCATACATACACATACTAGGGCCAATTTAGACAGGATCCAATTCACCTACCAGCATGTCTTTGGAGTGTGGGAGGAAACCGGAGGACCCGGAGGAAAACCACGCAGGCACAGGGAGAACATGCAAACTCCAGGCAGGTGGTGCCATGGCTGTGATTCGAACCAACAACCCTAGTACTGCCAGGTGGAAGTGCTAACCATTTAGCCACTGTGCTGCCCAAATTAGAGGGGCATCCTGTCTTTTTGGCCACCGCCACCATCCCAGAAGATACACAGGCAGCAGTGCAAACATAACAAAGGTTCTAACACTTCATTGTCCCATCAATAAAAAAGGGTTTGGCTTATGGGCTCATTGTGTGGCTCTGAGACCTGTCCTCTATGCTGAGTTGCTTTTTGCTTCTTCTGCATCCACCTTGGAGCTGCATGCAATCAGTCCACAGAAGTGGATGCAAATGCAGCAGCTGCATGAGCACAGTTGCATCTCAAAATTTGGCATGTAGGCAGAAGCCATTGTGTTCTTCCTCACCAAGAGAACACAATGGCTCCGCAGGAAGGATTCCCCCAACAACACTGACTGCGTTGATGGGGGAAATCAAGCAATTTTCTTTCCTGCAACACGTGGTTGCAGGAAAGAGAATCTCTCCATTTATGTCTGGCCTTATACTCTGCCCTAGCATAGTGGATGTACACAAGCTAACCTTTGCAAAAGATATGCCCTATTCAAGTGTTTCAGTTAGAGGGTCTGGAGTTAAGGAGGAGTGAGCATCAGGTAATAAGGCTACCGAAGTGAGAAGTGATGAGTGTTTCCAACAGTTGAATGATGCTTGGTATTGCATACAAAGATTTTTAAGCTTGTTTGGAATAGATTTTTTTTCCAACAGGAAATGGCCTGGGAGGAAAAAGGAACCAGATTTTCACTGTGCATGTACAGCTAACACCTCTTTGATCTGATAGTTTTGGTTGTGCGGTAATGTGTTCAAATAGTTCACCACCAGTTCTTGTGATACATCTGCTAGTCCTTTTGAATATATACTATAGCCTTAGTTAGTCCTCAATTAATGGCATCTCAATGGCTTCCCAATCAATTTCTACTCAAACCAATAGTTTTCACATCGCAAATGTGACAAATGATAATAGGCACGTCCTCCTGAAGGGTTAAGTATTTTGATGGAGTCTTATTACACTACAGTTGGGTTGGAATGGTTAACAGAAAACCTGAGAGGCCATTGGCACCATTTCCACCATCAGTCTGTCCAGCTTACCTTCTACAACCCTGAAAGTGGCTTTGATACTTCTTCTTGTACTGTAGGAGTACTTGTACAGTACTCCTTCTTGTACTCTTTTTAAACATAGCTTTTATTAAATAAAGTCAAAGTTCTTTTACGCCTTTTGCTATGATCGTGATAATTTCACAAAATCTGATTTTTAAATATAATATTTTTCTTTTGCTAAAAGTGCCAGCAATTCAAAAAAGACAATCTACAAACATGACCTTCACTTGGACTGCTGTTTCACTTACAATAAATTTGATGATAGGCTTTTTGCTTTGGAGCTTGAAAACTGTTGAAGGCTAATTATTATAAGGAGAACTGTCAGCGCTGTCACTTTGCAGAAAGGTTTAAAACAATCAGATTTTTTTTCTCATTATTGCATAACCTATAGATTAGAAAGTCTATTCCAGGTAATTAAAGAGAATGTTTAAACGTGTTCACTGATACCTACACCAACACAGATAAGAGATCACTTTTTGTACCTGAAGTAGAAAAGGTTTGCCCTCCGCATATGGAATAATCTTTCACCAAAGTTATTTCTAGCCAACTCAATAAACTGTTAAAAAAAAGCTGGTTGTGTTTAGAAATGAACAAAATATACTGTAACTGCCTATTAATATTTATAAGAATAACACTGTAGATTGTTGATCCAATGTGTATTCAGTTGCCTTTGGGGACCAGGAGGGATTTTTTCT